GGGGGTTGATAAAGATAGTGGGCCTACATTGATACCGGGGTAGGGGTCGGGGGAGATTTTTTTTAAAACCTGTGTTAATATTTAACCTATATTGCAATGCATCATAATGACCTAATGCCGTGGGTGGTTGGCGGGTGTTCTGGTGTGGTTTGTTCCTTCTTTCCTATCCAACAACTGTCATCCTTACCTCCCGTCCTTCTTTATTGTGCTTGTTACTCTCTTGTAACACTACTAATCTTCGGCACTTATCTGAACTATTGTGTTGCACGTGCCGTAGAACTCTTACTAAAAACCAAAACATACTGCCCTGACCACTCTTGTACTCTAAGCAGGCTTTGATTGTATTCCCTTGTGATCTGTTACGTCATATCCTGTCATATACCTTACCTTATATCATCTTCCTGGTATTTCCCTTAATGGTAATTGCCAGGCGTTTCGCCGTTGACAACAGTTATTTCATATTATTATCTCTGTATATCAGCTGGGATACTGTGTCTCACTCAGCCCAGGTTGGACCTGAAAAGAAGGCTCGAAGCAACCCGCCTTCAACATTTTGCACTTAACTTTTCTAAGCATTCTGCCTGTCCCTTCAGGTCTCTATCTCAGTCTCCTTAGTTTTCTATAGACACGGTTGGTTTGGATTTACTATGTAATGGCTCAATAGTTGGTGGTTGGCAGGTAATCTGGTGTTTTTCCTATTATAAATCAATCGTCCTTATTTCTCCTCCTTCTTTCCTTCTATGTTACTCTCTATTAGCACCCATTATCTTAGGAACTGATTGACTCAATTGTGCCGCAAGTGCAATCAAACTATTTCTAAAACAAACCAAACTACGATAAACACTAGCCATTCATGTAAGAGACCGTGACTCCATATTTCATTGTCAGCTGCAATAGGACATAGCTAAGTGGATGGATAATCTTGAAAAAAACAAAAAACAACCAAAATGTAAGACCACAGAGTTGGGGAACTTAGCCAGGGTTGTTTGTAGTTGGCAAGTGCTCTAGTATGATTTGTTCCTTCTTTATTGTCAATATACACCGTCATTATCACTCCTCCTTCTTTTCTTTGTATGTTACAAGCTCAAATTGTGAACACTTTCTTTATCCTTTTGTTTTCAAAGTGCCTTAATACTCTTATGAAAATTATATTGTCAGCAGGTGGCAAGTTGTAGCTAACCATGCCAATGGCTGAACGGTCTGATGCTCGTCGAAAATGAAATTCTGATTTATAAACGAAGTCCAGTTTGGTAAGAGTTTTACGGAGTTTGAAACTGTTAGGGTCATATGAGTGCACTTATTAGCTTATTGAAAGCTACCTCCTGTGATGCAGACCGCCATACGAGTGCGCTAATAAACTTATGGAAAACTACGTCCTATGGTAAAAATAACATAAAATTCGGAACCAGCTATTCAAAATTGACCCTCGGCTGACTCTTTTTCCTACTGGATTCTCAAGATTACAAAAAAAAGTATTTTTACCGTGATTGCTACAAGTATTATTTTCTTATAACACAAAAAGGCTGGATAACTGTCAGTTTTAACTGAACGTGTAATACCCCTTCTACTCTTTTTTTAGTTTAAGTAAAAGTTTTACGGCACTTGCAACAAAGTAAATAAGGTCATATAAGTTCCGGAGATAAGGTGTTATAAGAGTGTATTAAACACGAAAAAGAGGTGGGGCAGATAAAGATGATAGATATTTCATAGGAAAGAAGGAGCAAACCACCTACCACCCACTACTCATTAACTCTTGTTTCACTGACTTCCTGGAACTATCGTGATCCAAGCACATTTATAGACTAATTCCATAATCTAAGTTCTGTTTATATAGTTTTTTTCTGTTGTTGATGTATGATGACAATCAAGATGTTACTAACCCCTCCTCCAGCCTACTCTGCGTCCATGCCTGCTTCGTCAGAGCGGTCAGAGCGGTCAGCGCTGGAAGTTGACATTTCACTCAGCCTCAACTCGACACTCTGGATATCCTCACCGGAAACAGGTCTCGGGAAATGGTGATATTATTATTCGCGCGTCTGTTAACCAACAGACGACTACCCTTACTTTTGTATTTATGTAGCCACCATTATCATCCTCCTGCGACCACCATTAACTGTTACCATCATCCTGTTATTGACAAAACTACTGCCATCACCATCACCATTACCACAACTTCATTATCCACACGAACACCATTCCCATCAGTACCACCATCATCATCACCATCACCGCCACCACAATTACCAACACCATGACCATCACCACTACCACCACCATGACCATGGCAATGACCACCATCACAACCACCACCATCATCATCAACACCATCACCATCATCATCACCTTCACCATCACCTTCACCATCACCTTCACCATCACCTTCACCATCACCATCACCACAATTACTATCACCATCACCATCACCTTCACATCACCTTCACCATCAATTTTACCATCAACTTCACCTTCACTATCACCATCACTACTGCAATCCTACGCAAATAAACACCATCACTGCTACTACTTTAAAGACACAACCACCGCCAATTGCTGTCCTCCTACTGATACGACCACCATCACCACTACAATCACTAGTACACATAATCATCACCATCCCCACCACTATCCCCAACCAATCACCATCATCCTCCAAACGTCATAGCTTATACCAAATCACCACCAACACCTTAATGTACCGACACAACCATCAGTAACTGCCCCCACATCCTCCTAATGGCACCACCATCACCACCACTACCACCACGACAACAACACCACTACCAGTTGACTGCTGCTGCTGCCACCACTATAACACCAGTATTCTTCTATCATTGCCACGACCACCACAACCACCACAACCACCACAACTATTACCATCACCACCATCCACCACCTCTACCCTCTTACAACCATCACCACCACCGCCACCACTACCCTGTCACCATCACAACACCGACACCATCTCCACTACTCTTCTACCGTCACCACCACCGTCACCACCACCACCCTTCTACTTTTACCACACTGCCCTCCTACCACCACCACAACAACCACCTTACCATCACCTCCACTACTCCCATACCACCATCACCACCAACCCCACCTCACCACTCACCACCACCACTACCACTACTCTCCTACCACCATCACCACCAACAAAACACTTCACCATCACCACCACCACCACCGCCAAAACTCTCCTACCACCACCACTCCCACCACCATCACCACCACTACTGTCCTACCACCACCCCTACCACCCTCCATCACCACCACCACTACTCTTCTACCACCTCACCACCACCACCACCACCACCATCACAACCACTACTCTCCTACCACCATCACCGCCACCCCAACCACCACCCCATCACCACCACCACAGCACCACCACCCTCCCCGCCGTCTGCGTGACTAATCAGAAACGGAACCCCTGTGAGGGAGGCTTTGCTCACTCTCCAATACCACCCACACTCGCACGACACACGTCTGGACGCACTGACAGCCGGCGTCATATATAACCTCCGCTGTCCATGACGTTAGAGGTTTTCTTACCGTCCAGTCTGTCAGCTCCGCGCCAGAGTCCTGCTCCGAGAGACTGGAACCAGGTCGTCCCAACATCCCCCCGGCTGGACACAGGACCGGAAGTAACTGGACAAGGATCTGCGGCGGAGCTTGTCAATGGGTTCTGTCCGTGGCTAGGACCAGTCTTCGTTGGTGACATGAGGAAGGCGTTAGAAAGGATTCTTTTCATAGCCAGGAAAACTTTGTGGTGCGCGATAGTTTGACCGCCAGTTGTGCTTACGTCGACTGCAATGACACTGTTACCAGAATATTAGGGAATGATGTGAGAGTGAAAGAAAACAAGAACGAAAAAAAATAAACGAAAAGAGGAAAAAAAGAAAACTTGAATACTTTCAATCCACGTAACTTCTAACAATTTTCATACCATATTTTTTCAATGGAAAAGTTGCTAAATTGTGTTTTCCCATACTAAAGTGGAAGGGGAGCAACGACCGTTTTTTTGTTTTGTCTGTTTAATATTCTATGTCCTCAACTGTTTCTTTTCCACTTCAAACCTTGGATAATGTTCTGCAACATTTAGACTTATATAACAACACGTATCATACAGAGCATTCTCTTTGTCCTGCTTATCGTTAGCCAGTTTCGTTTCAACGAAAACCGCACTGTTTCCCCTCGGGAAGAATCCGGACAAGTTCTGGCGTCTTGTCACAACCATTTGTCCCGGACCTGTGTGCCCGTCACTCTAAGCTACCGATTTAGATATTGCAAGTCTTGACCGGAGAAAAGCTCACAGTCAGGGCATCTGCTTACAGGGGCCCACGTGCTTGTCAAAGGAGAAAAAAAAACGACCTTGGAGGGAGGGAAGAAAGCTCCTATATAAACTCCTCACGATACTCTGAACTCCTCACCAGCAGTGTCACCCTCCTGAATATAGCCAACTAAATTCTAGGAACTCTAAGAGGACTACGCTTGTCTCCAACATCTTATCGTCAACATCTTCTGCAAGCGATAACTATATTTCTGGTCCGCCAAAGTAGTATACGCTAAGAACAAGAGGAAGAGAGTCGTAAGGTTTTTTATTCCCAGCCGGCGAGAGCAGAAACTGTTGTTCTAGCTGCCTTTCTGGTCTTAACAGGACCATTTTGCTGGCCAGTGAAAAACTAACTCGGGTGAAACAACATTGGTGCTACCAGCCTCTCCTGACTGTTCCAACGGTAAGTTAAGAGCATTAAGGCATTATTATTGTTCTCATCGTCGTTATCGTCGTCACCCTCGTCACCACTACCATCACTATCATCATCATCATCATCATCATCATCATCATCATCATCATCATCATCATCATCATCATCATCATCATCATCATCATCATCATCATTACTGAAAAAACAGAAAAGGGACGGAGAGTCTTGATCAATTTTCAGGCAATGAATAAAAATGAAAATTCAATTTATTTTCTATGTTGCTTTTATGAAAAACGGCTCAACGTTTTACCCCAAGGGCTACTTCAGGATCAACTGGGAATAAAACTTCAGACAGCACAGTGTAATAAAATCCCGAATCAAGGAAAGGAGCCTCAAAGGAGGTCTTATAGTTAGTTACCAGGCGGGTCCGAAGTGACTCAGCATGAGCCAGATCAAAAGGTTCTTTTAAAAGAAATCAGTACATTCATACGCATACACGCACGTAGATACACTTTCAGATGTCATTGTTATCCTCATCATCCTCCTCATCCCCCCCCCCCCAAATCACCCTTATCACCATCATCATGGTTTTACAGCAGTAAGTAAGAAAGTAGATCAAAGTTTATTCAGTGTTTAAGGCCAATGGCCCACATCACTTCACACAAAACACTCATTTGATAAGTAAAGTTTCCATAATGAATAAGTACAGGTTGTGCACATATCTCTTATCATGAGTCAAACATTGCATATTTCTGTCAGTGGGCCGAGTCAGGCTGGGTGGGATTAACAATTTCCTTTGATGGACAAAGTGTGAACAATAGAAAATAAAGTAAAATTCACCTTCAATTTCATGAGTCACACCTCTCACATAAGGGCGAATTACTTAATTTCCACCGATAGAGATTGTTATTTAATGAAAGGCTATGTGTTTTTTTACAAAGCCATGACTCTTCTGCTCCAATACCGTGGGAGGTTGGTGATATAATATATTCAGCGCTGTTTCTTGAAACGGAATTGTAAGAGAGAACAAATTATACTTGCGACACACTTCTTCCTCTATGTTCAGCACAGAATGATCAACAAGTCTACTTTTTCCTTCACTGAGAAAGAGTCTAGTACTTCCAACAATTTGAGAAAACCAGACATATCCAAAACCCAGGGAAAATAAAAGGTTTTTAACTTCCGTAGCCAAGTTGACTCTGCCCTGTTCACAGGAACGATATAACTGCATGTAACATTTCTTTGGATATCTGTCATTTTCTAAGTGTATAAGTTTGCAAAAGAATTTAAGGACACAATGCATGTAATCGGAACATAAATTGGTTCTTCCCACTTCTCTTAGAACTAAACATTTGGGTGTAGTTTTGCCAAGACCCAAAAAGGCTTGCCAGAAACTTTACCTGAACATTATCAATCAAGTCCCAATTTTTGGTACCCCAAATTTCAGAGCCGTAAAGCAGCATTGGTTTAATATTTATATTAAAAAATGTTTTTTGATGTTTCGAAACTTAATTCTTGGAAAGAACCGATAAGCCTTCTTGTTCGAGAAACAATCCGTAGAGCTTTAAAAGCTCGATCTTCCAGCGTTCGTCTCCAGCATAGACGCGATGAAAATGAAATGCCCAAGTAACTGTTACAGTAGTAAATAATATTTGAATATAGTTGGGTACATTTAATCTGACGTTCTAAGATGTTTGACGTTTCTCCAATTCTGGCTTCTTAAGGAACATAGTATCTAAGTAAACAGACGCTTTAGCAATGAAATGTTCTCTACTTGTTTAGTAAAGGTGCAAAATAGACAATCATCAACATCATCTTCATCCTCATCATCATCATCCTCATCGTCATCGTCATCATCATCAGTATTGGTTATTGTTCGCACTACACACATTCTGTGACAATTTCAACAGCTGTATAGACTACTATGCTTACAGAGCTAATAACTCTCTTAGGAATATTGTATGGCTTTTTATTCTATACCCTACACAGATTAATCATAGATGTCTGGTCTTCTTTTGCACAAAGCGAAAAACAAACATTTGTCAATACCGAATCATTAAAAGTTAAAGGCAAAAACGTCATTGTAGTTCTCAGCCTATTTCGCCATCCGTCTGGAGTAATTAACAGATTATAATACAAGGTCTGGGTTGCGAAAAGTAAAAATCAACGATTGCGTAAATAGACGGAAGAATCAGATGCATGAATAACTGCAAGACGCTTGAAGTCATTAAATCTCGATAGATGTTACAAAAGCACGCATCTTATCACGGGAACACCTAATGGGATCCTCTTATTTGCTAGCAGTGCCGTGGGGCATTCTTTAAGTGGCAACAATATTTGTTTTATCTTTGGGGGTTTTCTTGTATTTTCTCCCACGCCTCTGCACACTCATGACAGGTTGCCCGGCAACGTAAGCCGTAGGGCATCCTTTTGCCTGCAAGGACATTATTGTATTTACCTTTGGTTCCTCTTTTATTCTTTTTCCCAAATCTCTTCACATTCTTATGTGTCTTCTTCTGAAACGTTGGAATATTACAGGTACAATGATTCTGTGTGGGAATGTTACATTACACTGTACTAATTCGTTCCTCTGTCTGTCTGCCTGCCTGCCTGCCTGCCTGCCTCATTTTCTCTCTCTCTCTCTCTCTCTCTCTCTCTCTCTCTCTCTCTCTCTCTCTCTCACACTCACTCACTCTCTCTCTCTCTCTCTTTCTCTCTTATTTTTCTCTTCGTCTCTCATTTGTAGGGTCACGGATGTGTCCTGGGAAAAGGTTCTATTATGATCACCCAT